ACCTATCCAACCTAGAACCGATCACCCCTAGTATTCACTATGCGTGTCATTTAGTGTTTAGGAATTTAGATCATGTTACTCATGCATTTTAGTTTAGTAGCTATTTGATTTAAGTTCATAGCTCACGGGGTTCTATTCCGGGGCTTAATAACAGGGCATTATTTAATGTTGCCCGATATGGCTCGGGTTCTTTACTTTTCTCGCACTTTAATTACCGTAGTTGGATATTGTTTTTTTTGTTTTTTTTTATGACCCGGGAACCGCCGTACAGCCGACAGCCGGCGACGTAAACCCGGGGTGACGCTAGTGCAGAACCCACCACCACGGCGCCACACTTAAGAATCCCTAACGACTACGCTGGAATTTGAACTCCCCACCCTTCGTGAGGGGCAGAGAGCGCGAACCAACGCAGCCGCTGCGGGCGGTGGTTTAGTTGGATATTGTTTATTATTGCATTCATCATCTATTTTTATTGCTTGAGTATCATGCATGATCATCTTTCACATTTAGTGGATTTATTTGATAATAAAATTTATGAAGATCGCATGCAAATATTTTCTTGAATAGATAAGGTACTGATAGGGAGTTAGATTAATCTAGCATAATCAAGACTCCAAACACGTGAATCTGTAGTTTTTTTTTTTTGGTAAGGTGTGAATCTCTAGTTGGTAGAAGTAAAATAGACTCCAGCATTTTACTTCGGTTTCTAACCGACCCATTTAGGTTAGTGGTTTACTCCTGAGTAAAACCAAATGCCATAATTAATGAGAAAACTAAGTTGCGATCGGTGAGGTTAGGAAGAACTCGTGCTAGGCGTAAGCGCCACTGTGCGAGAGGGACCATTCGCACCTGCTTAATAATCCATCAACATCCTTCGGGGATTTCACCTCAGGAGGGTCGCGACACCACAAACATCTTACAAGTCCAAGCTGAGCTTGAACTTTGCCATAATCGTGAACCTTCTCAAAAAACCAACTCCATCTGATCCTTTAGCTACTCTACAAGAATCATCAGACATAACCTCCTCTAACAAAAAATAAAAACAAAACCAATGTTGCATTTATACTTGTATGAGGATCGCACCCATACTTTGTCAAACTCAGAAGTTACGGCCATTGTTAGATCTACAGGCTCCACCTCGCTAGAAACACTGCTTGTATTGATTATCGCGCTACCATCCGTTATCTCGGAAGTTTCAAGTTGCAACTGCACCTCAAGCTAAACATTGCTTGGATCAATAGAAACACTATCACATGTTGGAGACTCATTAAATGTCCTCTACTGACAATAGGTTAATTCAACTCCGGGCACCACGGTCGATAGCCCCGCTCACCTTGTGCATAACCTAGAATGATGCACTTTATCACCCTCCTATCGAGTTTACCATCCCTCACTAGAATATAATATAGGCAACCAAATAGTCAATAATTTTACCTGACTACACTTTTTCGGGATATTCTATGGGATCTTTTCACATGTAGCTCGCCAAACTAAGCACATCTGCTTTGCCAATTATATCTTAGTCATACCAACACTCTAGAGCATTTTATGGGGCGACTCAAGTAAAATTCTATCTCATCAATTCTGCAACCTATTATGGTTCATTAGCAATATTGCAATCTCTCACTATGCTTTCCTCCTTACAGAATTCTTTTATACAATTTCAAGCAAAACTCCATGCAACTATTAATCGACACATGCTTGATCGTCTTACCTGTCTTCCTCTTGATCAAAGCTCTTAACTGCCTATTCATGACAACAACATCAAACTTGTACCTCAGAACAAACACTCAAATCTTGCTAGACAAGTCATCCACAACTATTTGCATAACCGTAGCACTCTTCTTCAAAGAAAACCGCAATAGTTTGCAAACATCCAAGTGCATTAATTCTGCAATCTCTGTGGTTTCTTGCAACCATATTGAACTGTGCTTTCCACTGTTTTCCCTGCTTATAGCACTTGCATACCTTAAATTACTTTGCTACTTAACCATACAATAGATTCCTTTCACTCAAAACCTTCAAGCTTCTCTCACCAATGTGCCTAAAAAGCATATGCCAGAATTCTGTCTCTTGAACAAATACATCCAACATCTCCACGACAAAATTCATCACTGTCTCCCCTTGGAGTATCGGTGCACTTATTCCTAAATTAAAAAGAGCATGAGATGTCGTTTAAAAGTTAAAAAAAATATATTACAATAAAATATATCTTAAAGTGTGACGCAACCTATACTTTAAACTTGTTGATGTTGCAAAAATATGCTTTGCAATAGTAACATTAGTTAAACAAAAAATATTTGAAAATATAAAAGATGCCATAACGCCAACAAATGATATATAATCCTTTTAGTGTGTCGACGAACTCTATTCGCATACACTTAGTATCAATCGGTATTGCCTCGATTACTTTATAAAATTCATCGAAATTGCTTCATTTTCTAATTTTCTTTTTCTCCCCCCACCCCTTCCTTCTTCAAGGCCGTGTTATGTGACATGCGTTGCGTTGGAACTGGTAGCGAAATCTAGAAGTCTCCTACAATGTTCTCATTCTACGTTCCCACTCCACTTCCCATTAATCTCACACGGTTTTTCCACAACATTTTTCGGAAGTCAAGTCTTAATACCTAGAATCAATCGGTTGATTGAATGATTGTGTCCGCGAAATTTCCATAATGTTACTGTTTTAGGGGGACCCTTTCGTATGGAGTAAACCAACCAGCCAAAGTTGACTTCACACGGTAACAATAAAAAACCGAAGAAAGTAGTTCATTTGGCCTATTTGCCGTACAGAATCAGGTGGAAGAGAAACAGGAATGGTGGACCTAAGGGGTGTCTTGGACACTGACAGAGGAATTTACAAGTCGCGAATCAACCGTGGGTACCGAGCTAGCCCAGCAGGTTGATTCACGGTAGCGGCTAGTTAACAGGAGCCGAATCTCCCATCTGTTACCCCAGACGTGGGACGCTACTATACCTGCCTACTCGATTGTAGTTAGCCGAAACTGATATAGAGTCTACCTTCTCCACCTAGACGCCCCCCCGCTCCCTCCTAAATCTTTTTCTTCTCTAGGGGGAGGGAATACAGGAGATGCTACAGGGGTCTCCCACCCCAGGCAGGATCTCCCTACAGTAGAGCTCCTTTAAGCCTTTTAAGGTCTTGCTCAGGACCAAACGTGGTTTCTTTTAAACTGCTCCAACAATGAAGGGGATAACCCTATGGTGGGGTCAGTCCAAATGAATCTCATGGAGGAATTCCCCTCCGACCTCCATGGGATTTAAAACACAAATGGAGGGGTAGAGGCAGCTCTCAGGCCTCGAGAAAGATTGTGGCTGGGGTACACCTCCTGTAAGACTAGGTCCTAAGCAAGACCTTAAAAGGTTTCGTCTGAATTTTGGGACGTAAAACACGAGGGTATTCCCTAGAGCGAGGGAAGAAAAACTTTTCCCCAATTAGGGTTTCGAGGCGTACGGCATCGGTACGTTAAAATAAGGAACACATATGTAGAACCCGCCATCCCTGCAATGCAAACGGACAGGCCGCAGAGGCTCTCGTAGGAAGCTTGCTTCCCTCTCTTTGGTGAGGTACCCTTAGTAACCACCATCAAGGATCCTTGGTGTTTTGGTGAGGTACCTCACCAAAGACGAGTGTTGCCACCTAGGTAGGGTACAACACCTTGTTTAAAGACCCGGGGGCCGGTCTACCTACCCACCCCCTGTCCCTCCTATGGTTTTTTTTCTTCTTGGCGGAGGTCGTGAATACCTTCTTATTTTAACATCTTGAAGTTTAGACGAAGCTTTTTAAGGTCTTGCTTAGGACCAATATAGCTAGAATCAATCCGTTGATTGAATGATTGTGTCCGCGATTCCATAATGTTACTGTTTTAGGGGGATCCTTTCGTTTGGAGTAAACCAACCGGCCAAAGTTGTCTTCACACAGTAACAAAAAAACCGAAGAAAGTAGTTCATTTTGCCTATTTACCGTACATAATCAGGTGGAAGAGAAACAGGAATGGTGGACTTTAGGACTGACAGCGGAGTTCATAAGTCTCCCACGTGGTTTCTTTTCTACGTTCCCACTCTACGTCCCATTGATCTCACATGGTTTTTACTGTTACCGAACCTTCCCACAAATTACTAAGAGTTCCCGACATTACGCCCTGCTATGGCGGCATGAGACAGCTTCTTTCTCTTCGGCTCTTCAGTCTCGTTAGCTCCAGGTCTTCTTCTTGCTCTTTCCATCCTGGTCAACGATATCTTCACTAGTAGGAAGTGTCTTGGACACTGACAGCGCACTTCAGGAGTCTCCCACACGGTTTCTTTTTCTGTGTTTATCCTCTTCTTCTCATTGATCTCGCATGGCTTTTCCCACAACTTTTCCGAAAGTCTAAATTCCTAAAATCAATCAGTTCATTGATTGATTGTGTCGCGAAAGTTCCATAGTATATGTTTATTTTAGGGGGAGCCTTTCGTGGAAATAAACGCTACCATTCTACGGTCAAAAGCCACCAAAGTGACTTCCCACAAAACGGAAAAACGAAAAAAAAGATGAGGCCAATTATTTGGCATAGTCAGACCAAAAAAAACATAAATTATTTGGCATATTTGCTGTGCAGAGAAACAGGAATGGTGGCAAGAAGTGTAAATGCAGCCCGGGTTATCAATTTGGGAGTTTTTGCGATATAAAAACTAGTTTGGAGCAAATGTGGCTGTATTACTTTTGAGGGTTTTTTGCGGTAATAGCCCTAAAAATTAGGTTGAGCACTTCAAAGCCCTTGTTTTCGCTGTGAGAAAATAAAGATGGTCAAAAAAGCAATTGTTTTGCGGGGTATCTGATAGTTTGTTTTTTGTCGTTTCTTATTCTGTCTCGCAATCTTATTGAGATCGCTCCTCTTAACCAGATTCCATCTCCACTCTCTATTTAAGTGCGATAGTTTCTCGAATTGCAGTACCAATCCACACTTGCATGAGAGAAGAAGACGGAGACGAAGAAGAAGGCGATGGGCTGCAGAAGCGAATCGGCGTCCACGCATTGCGGCACCTGCGTGGTGGGTGTTGAGGAAAATCCCTAATTAATTTTGTAGAAAGACAAAACAATCTTTTTTTAACCACAATTACACTTAAATTATTTGATGCAGGTAAACATTAAGTCATCAGACTTAGTCGATGAAAGGACTTTGTCATCAGACTCAAAATTACTCGTCAGATTCAATAATTGTTATTTTTGGCAAGTTTATGCAAGATAATCAAATTGATATTTTGAGATATTCTAATTGGCAATCATAAGATCGTTCCTTAAACACGAAGAACTACACTTATGGAAACCTTGATTTGATTATATGGGCGATCAAATCATCCGGAGATAATGGTTATTCTTCTAACGGCTATGCATCTTCTTTTGGGAAGTTTCTCCAACAGGTTGATTTGGAGATCAATCCTCTGCATACTATCCAATGGATAGATTGGAAATAGAGGAGTATAAAAGGAGTGCAAACGTCGTACAAGAAGAATAACCAGAATCCAGAATTCCAAAGTCTGAATAGAGCTTCGATCTTACACACTTGTGATTACTGTATTTCACGTTGTGATTTTAGTAAGAAAATTACTTGAATAAAGAGTGTATATGATAGTGCAGTCTATCATCTGAAAGGTATTGCTCTTGTAATTTCTTGGTGATTCAATAGTGAAACACAACCATAAGCTGCCAGCGTGGAGAGTGGACGTAGGCTTGATAAAGCCGAACCACTATAAAGATCTATGTGCAGTATTCTCTTTCCCTAAACTCTCATTTATTATTGTTGATATTATACTGCATACATATCTGTCAAATAAGCTTGTTAAAACATCATATTAGTCATCAGACGCAATTATCTGACGACAACTTATATACTAATTTGTCATACGCATCCATCTGATATTGATCATACGAGTTATTGACATCGACTATATTCATTCCGCACGTTTAAATCATTCAATTTGGTAAAATTACTTATTCACCCCCTTCTAGGTGATAGCACTAGTCGTAACAGCGGGGATGCCGGTGGAGCCGCGGGAGCTTCTCGCGAGCCAGCATGCCACAACATGGGTTGCCAACGAGGTTCACCCGACGAGCTTTCACTCCAGCTACTTACATGCCAATGCGAGCGGCTCGGTCTCTGGTTTTGTCAACCTCAACAAAAGCAGCAACGAGAACATGTATCTCGACGTCGCTCCGATGAATGGTTCCGCGCCGTCTGGCCTTCAGATCATTCCGGTGAATGCTTCCGTGCCGTCTGGTTGGAGTGAGTCCATCGAGGCGTATTTCGCCTTTGTAGTTATTTTATGGTTGATGATTAGGCTTCAGAATGGTGTTGATGAGACAGACGCTTTGCTGGTGTTTTCAGATCCGATAAACAAGGTATGCGACAAGCTGAACCGGTGTGGGAAGAGGGTCGATGATGCTACCAGAAAAGCAGAGGCGCTCGTGGACAATGTCTGGCATCACCGTGAGTTTTCTCTACATTTTTTCTAGCTAAACATGTCTATATAATCAGATAGAAACATTTTGGATTTATTCGAGGAGACGTATCTGATTGATGATTGCTTGCTTGCATATATTTCTTCTCTGTTTCTGCAATGTGAACGCTATCTATGTAAATATTCAATCCATAGAGTTTGGCACCTTGTTCTTCATTGACTTCTTTTGTCCTGCACGATGGCCTCATAACACTGCGGTCCTGTCCTTTTGGAAATCAGTTCAAATGATCAGTCATAGGCTTATTTTGCAATTACCACCTCGGAAGAAAGATACATGCTTCATAATCTCTGTATTCAATCTACCAAATTAGCGGTTGAGTGGATCAAGCCCTGTGATTATTTATCTAGAGGAGCTTCAACTCTGACGTGCGGCGCTATCTTCAGTGCTTATTCTTTTGGCAATCTATGTCAATTCCTAGCTATTACAAATTACCAAATCAATAACATGGCACATCCGTGGAGGACATGGTTTGTTTTCCATCATTTTCTAAGGCTATCAGGACCCTTCGGCTCTTTGCGTGACTGAACGTTGGACTAGATATAAGATCATCCCTTGGCCCAACTTCTTTTTCCCTGGAAAGAAGAAATAATTAGCTTTGTCCTGTAAGCGCAAGCACTGCAGCAGTTGGATAAGCTTGGCTTTGGCTTGTTGTCCGTTTTTTAGTTTATTTGTGAGAGACAAAGCCCATAATTTCTTTGATTCTCTTCCTCTTCTCCTCACGGTTTCTATTAGATTGAAATGTGATGTTAAGAACTCTATTCTTGCCTGACCTCAACTAATTGGTAATTGTGCTATGTTTGTTTCCTGAAACAGTAAAATCTAGCCATAGCATCACAGACGCAGCAATAGCACGGCTTGCTCAGGGGACAAAAATGCTCATAGAGGGGGGACGGGATAAGGTATTTGAACATACTTTTGAGATTCTGCCCGGAGAGAAGCTCCTGAAGACATATGCTTGCTATCTATCCACTTCCTCCGGCCTTGTCATTGGGACACTGTATTTGTCAACCAAGAGACTACTCTTCCACGGTGATGAGCCTCTTTGCCATTACGCTCCCTCGGGGCAGCAAGAGTGGGTGTGTTACAAGGTAACCTTTTCAATCTTCCTGTCATTGCATTTACTCTAGGATTGCCATTTCAAATTGTTAAGCACTGAGCTTTTGTCAGAATCATGATGAGTTTTTGATGCATTACAAATTCATAGCCTGAGTTATTACTGTCGTTTCCCCTATAGTGACTAGCCTGAGGATTTTATAGTCGAACCTCCACCGTAGAGGACCTGCATTTACTCATCGACTGTATTACTTCACTGAGCCTTGGATCATTCTTCTCGTCATTTTATTTTTATCTAAGCATGAAGCATCTTAATGTAGTGAAACATACCTTCGAAAAAGTTCGTCAAGCTCCGCTGAGCTTCACTCTCCAACCATCAGTTTCTAAAGTGCTTTCATCCTGATGGCTGTCTAGGTGGTTCTGCTGCTCGATCAGTTGAGCTTTGTTAGTCCTTCTCCAAAAGGGTTGGATCATTCTGAAAAGTACATCCAGGTCGTTTCGAGGGATGGTTATGAATTCCGGTTCATGGGTTTTGTATCGTATGATAAGGCTCTCAAGAACATAAATGAGGCTTTACAGCACAATCGTGAGAATAACATGGCTGGAAGGATACAAGTACGGTCAGTGGCCAGATGGGGGACGTGATATTCGACTGTACTCGAATAATTTTGCTCTGTGCGTGTGACTGCTATGGATAATGTTTTATTTCGACAGTAACATTTGCTTTTAAAACAGTTGTAGCAGGTAATTATATTCTTTGAAGCAGCTATGGGAGCTTGTTTCTTCTTTTTTCCGATAATTGGCTTCTTCAGTTATGGAAGTTGGCTTCTGACGGCATCATAGCTGATCAGGACAATTATAATCTGAATAACGTTTTACTTCAAATGCTTAACCCGACATGACCTAATTGTTGAAAGGGAAGAATTTTATTGCCGTAAACTTCTACTTACTTTGGCGATGACTACGGCCTATCACAAGTTATTCTTTCTTGCTATGCTAATTGCAAGATCGCAGAAACCAACACATCCTTTGTTGATCACAAAGGCACACAAATATTTTCTATGCACAAGATGATGAGAATTTATAGACATACTCCAATCATTTTGCCAACAAACTGAGATGGGAATTCGTACTTGGTTTTGGTTAGTCTTAAGAATTTAGAATGTTTCGGCTTCTGACTAAATAGAAGGACCACTTGGTCGCCATAACTAATTCATAATGTAACCAGCAACCAAAATGCTGGAAGCTCTCCGAAGAGTTTGCAATTCACATAGCAAAAACTCCTAGTCTTCTTCTGGAAGTTGGACTCTTAACAGTTTCGGATTTGTTACATTGATCAGTGAGTCAATGAGCCTCTTACAAAACAGCAAAGTGGAATGGCAATTGGCAAAAATAATTGCTAACTAGAAAAAGGGCCTAAAAACCTAAAAAACCCTCGACTTTAGGTTCAATCACAATTTTACCTCAAACTTTTTTTTTGTCTAAACAAAAACCCCAACTTCTACCCCAAATTAAAAATAAAAATAAAAAGTACCGCCAACTTTCACTCCAGTCTGTCCCCTGTTAATTGCCATCCAAGTAGCCTATAGTTATCCGACATGGCATCCACGTGTACCTGCTGACATGGAGGAGTTTAGGTCCAACGTTAATGGACAAGGCGATTGGACAAATATAGGCTCGTGAACGTTTAAAGAGACAAACGAAAAGGAAAAAAAAGTAGGAGATCTCAATGCTCATCCGGTGTATTATGGCCGTTTAACATTTGATATCATGTGCTAATAGTTTAGGCAAGAAAAATAAAATGATGTCATGTGCCTATGGTTATTATTCTATATGTACCTCTCTATCTCTATGCTTTTCGGTTGGCGTATTTGAGATGATCGAGCTTTGTTCAATATGGACTTCTAACTAAACTACATGCTTGTCAAGCGTCAGGTTGGTAAATTGGTTGTCATGAGATAAGTATTGATTTCACGTTTTTTACATATTTAATTCTTAGATAGGAACTGTAGTTCATGCTACAGATGCATTTGAACCGCATAAAAGAAAATTAATCATGCAGCTGTCCGTTTTCCATGTAATGGAGCGCAATATGGTAAAGTTTCTCGTATGACATTTTGTGCTAGCATGACAGAATCGTGTTATTAGTGCAGGCCAATATATATGAATAATTGTTACTCTTGTTTCGCATGGAAAATGATTGACTTACCCGGAATGTGTTAATCCGTGACAATATAAATGCGTCATGTCATATTCGTGTTTTCACTCGGAACTCTTTTACTGTGCGTGAGGGATGAAGAAAGATAGAGAAGCGAGAGAAGTGACAATGACAGAAATGAAAGGGAAGTGAGAAGAGAGAGATCGGCGATCGGCGTCGTCGAGCCAATGCTGGATGGAGGAGTGGTCGTAGCCAGTACAGTGGCTCATCGACGACTTCATGGTGTTGAGCGAGATTGGGCAGAGGAAGTGAGAAAAAGAAAAGAACGAAAAAGAAGATGAACAGAAGAAAGGAGGAAGAAGAAATAAAAATTGCATGTGTTATCCGACCAAAAAATTTGCCTGGCCGGAACGTTCGATCCCTTGTTTGAGATTAAATTAGCTATTTTAGGCTTTATTTGAGATAAAGTCCATTTTTGATCTTCTCTTGAGAAAATGTTTCACTTCAAGTTCTTATTTAAAATATTTTCAGAAGGAATAAAGAGATTTGGAAAAGCATGTGTCGTGTGGTATTTGATAGTTTAAAATTTGTGAGGAGGAATGCAAGATCCGTTGTTGACTCAAACACAGTCACTGTTTGTTGTTCTCTCTCGTGATATTGTCGAGATCGCTCCTCTTTTCCAAATTCCACCTCTACTCTCATTTTTTGGGTGATACTGTTATGATGTACGTATGAGTTGTGCTAGAGAAATCTCACATCAGAGAATTGGTGTGTATTGAGAGATTAATATATCCTAGTTGGCCCAAAACTCATTAGCTTAAACTTTTAAGTAAATGTGGGTCCAAATGGATATATTAACAAGCTCGAACTTGGGCTTCCTCTTGACGATCTTCCTAGGCGAAAAGTATCGGGCTTATGTTGTAAACTTCCAATAAATGGTATCAGAGCCGATTGTAGATTAATGGGCCCTCAATTTATTAAAGTTGAGATATCTTAATACAAAAGGATATCTGAATTAAAGGAGAGCAGATCTAATATTGAGCTCACATATTAGGAGGAGATTATTAGGGTGCACGTGTAAGTTGTGTTAGAGAAATCTCACATTAGAGAATGGGTGTGGTGTGGAACAGTTAATATATCCTAGTTAGCCTATAACTTATTAGCTTAAGCATTTGAATGAAGGTGAGTCCAACTGAATATATTAACAGGCTCGGACCTGGGTTCCCTCTTGGTAATCTCCCTAGCTGAAAGGTATCGGGCTTTTGCTGCGTGCTCCCAATAGATACTTTCTCGAATTGCAGTACCAATCCACACTTAAGTGAAAGAAGAAGATGAAGACGAAGAAGAAGGTGATGTCAGTAGAGGCGAACTAGCAGCAATGTGGGGCAGCACGCTAGGTAATAAAACGTTGTGGAGCGGCAAGACATCCCGCGAACCAGCAAGTCACTATGTAGATCGCCAGCTAGGCTCGACCCGCGAGCTTTCACTCTAGCTACTTGAATGCCATCGCAAGTGGCTCGATCTATGGTTTCGTCAACCTCAACAAAAAAGCGACAGCAAGAACACGTGCCTCACTGTCGCTTCGGTGAAGGCTTCCACGGCATCTGGCTGGAGTGAGTCTATTGAGGCGTATTTTGTATTAGAAGTTACGTTATAATTGATGATTAGGCTTAAGAATGGTGTTGATGAGGCCAACACTTTGCTGGTGTTTGCAGGTTGAATAAAAAAGAAATGCAACATGTTGAACCGGTGTGGGAAGAGGATCAATGATACTATGCAGAAGGTAGAGACGCTCGCGAACAATGTCTGGCATCATTGTGAGTTTTCTCTACATTTTTTCTCGCTAAACATGTCTATATAATCAGATAGGAACATCTTGGATTTATTCATGGAGATGTATCTGATTGATGATTTCTTGCTTGCATAATTTCCCCTATAAAGTCTGAGAGCTATACGTTCGACGGAATGATCTCGTCATCTCTCTTCTCAAGTTTTTTGAAGTACTTGTACAGTATGAAATTCGACGTCAACCCTCCATCGATCAAAACCTTAGACACTGGTCTACCATTGAGTCTAGCTGATATGTTCAGAGCTTTAAAATGCTTAGAGTTGTGAGCTAGAAGTTTTTTAAATTCCGTTACTTCTTCATCGGTAAACTAGAATTCCACCCTTTCTGCCTCAGCGACGATTGAATTCTCATCTTCTACCTTTCTTATCGATGCAATTTTGAATTCTTGAGGCAATCTATTTTGGACTATATATGAACTTGCTGGCGATATCGATCTTGAGAGCATTACAGGCCTGGGCTTGGATTTTTCTGTTTTTGGAGATCCTGACTCCTTTTGCTCTCCACTGGTTTGAACTGACTCTTCAGACTTCCTTTTCCAAACCAGACTCTTAGGTTTGAACTTCTTTGGTTTGTAGGTTGCCATAAGAGTCGAACATATAACTAACTCTTTGTTGCAGTTCAAACATCTTTTTCTTCCTTTGCATTCTCCTTTTCCGAGTTCCTTGTATTTCTTCGGCTTCGAACTATGATCCGTATGGAGGAATGTGAGCCACTTTCAAGGTCTGTCAATGAGAGGGTATTGACCAACCATTATCTTCAGTAGGTAAGTCGTCAAACTCTTCACCCCATCCAATACGAACCACATCTTGAGGATAGGGTGCTGGAGATGCATAACTGACATAATAGTCAAACTTACAACTCGGTTTTCCTAATGTGTCAATAGTAGGATCCCCTTCTTTATACCGCTGTCACGCCTCGAACCTCGAGCACGCGACAACCCGTATTCACTTAGGTCATTTGCATACGACGTCTCAGAACTCGTCGCCGACCTTTCATTTTATCTTTCAATTACGCATACGGAATCGACAACAATCACCCAATCATAACAATAAATAATAGGGATAGTAATAACAATCAACAACAGTCATGCCAAAGCGCCATTTTATTTAATTACTAGATTAACCCCAAGAAAACACATTTACAAGCCCTTCAAGGGCACCTTTCCTTATAAGCTTACAAAAAAGATAATGGGCTGGGAGTCAATTTACTCCATCTAAAAGTGGGTCATCTCAAAAAGAACCAATCCAAGGCATGTCCTTCAAGGACTATCAACATAGTGATTTGGCGAGTCAAAATAGGGCAAGTCGGGATCCTGCTCCCACGGGTTGTAATCCGACGAGTACACAGGATCTGGTTTGGTCTCGGGATTCTCCACTTACCTGTCAGGTGGGTCAATGTCCATAGGATCCCAGACCTCCTGCTCAGGGCCCCCATTCGGAGGACCATCGAAACCCCCCAGAGGACCGTACATGCCCTCGCCCACACGGATGAACCATGCCTGGAACTGATGAGGGACCCACATAGCTAGGCCCTCATCCACCCACACAGTAGATAGGTAGTGCTAAAAAAGATGCGGCTTGCCGGGAAAACGATGGATAGTAATAATACTATCCATATCTTGCGGCACCCTAAACCGTATTGGGTGGTTCGCCATCCTAAGGCCTTGGAAAACAGTTAACAACAACAAATA